TTCTTGGAGATAATTTGGGTGTGATGATTCTTTGGGAAATTTGGGGTAACTGGGATCTGTAATTGTGAGGACGGGGAGGATGATTAAGGGGCAGTAAAATTGTTTTTTGAGGGATAATTTTGGGATTGAGATTCTATGGGAATTTTGAAGGGAAATTGGGAGGAATAATTGTAAGGAATATTAAAATGAGATAGAAGTAATTTTTTTAGAGGGATAATTTTGGGATAAAGATTCTATGAGAAATCTAAGGGAAAATTGGCATGAATAATCGTACAGAGGAGGAAGGGGGTTAAAATGAAATAGAATTAATTTTTTAAAGGTAATTTGGGAATGTAGGTACTATGGAAAATTGGAAAAAATTGGGATGAATGATTGTAAAGAGGAAAAAGAGGGTTAAAGTGAAATAGAATTAATTTTTTGGGGGATAATTTGGGAATAAAGATTCTGAGAAATTTGGGGTAGTTGGGATGAATAATTGCAAAGAGGAGAGGGATTAAAAAGAAGTAAAATTGTTTTTTGGAGGATAATTTTACAGTGACACTGGGATGAATAATTCTAAGAAGGCGAATGAAGATTCAAATTAACCTTAGTACAGCCTTTGGGTCTTTTTTGACCCGTCGCTTTCTAATTTTTTTAATAACTTTTGCTGTTAACGAATTTCTGTTCCCTTAACGCCATATTGAAAGCTTATTGTTTCTGTTCATATGGCGTTCTGGTAACAACAATTGTTACGCATAAGGTCTTTGGGTCTTTTTTGACCTAACGCCTTAAGTATAGGTGTGATGGAACGGGAGAACGCATTAGGGTTAATTAAAATTGCTTCTGAAGGATAATTTGGGGATGAAGAGTCCATGGGAAACAGGGTGAAAGTGAAAATTCCAAAAATCCTATACCAAAAAAAAAAAAACGCAAAAAGCGAACCACTCCTCTTCTTCGTTTCGAATTTAATTTTCCGGTCGGAGAGCCGAATGTTGGATAATCGCTGGATGTATGCCGTGGTTGTGGAAGCACGAGAACCCCCCCGTTCAATAACGCAAACACACGAATCCGAGAAGCTCGTCGCATTCCCCAGGCCGCGGAAACCCTGCGACTTTCTCGAATCAGCTTTGCACCAGGCACTGTTGGATGCACTGCTGGAGTATTGGTTTCGGTGTTCGAGAGGAGGCGAGGAGATTGAAACGTTGAATGGGGATGGATGAAGGTATTGTGCCGCTTCGAAGGAGGATGTATCGTTGAAACGTGCATTCCTCCGCGACTCTATAACCCGAGCTATCTAAAAACGAAGGAGAAGAGAGGATAACGACGATGCAGAAACCCATCGAGGAGAATTTATACCATCGAAATAGGGATTAGCGTGGAATTTTTCAATTTTCACCTTGGAACTGATGAGATGTAGATTCATTTTTTTTTTCTCCTTTTTTTTGAGGACACTTTTAGTTCAAATTCTCGTGGTACTTGTGAATAGCGACGTAGCGTAAGTGCGGGGATTGTAGATTATTGTGATATAGTGATATCGATGCTTGAAGTTTATTGGAAATGTGTCTGTATAGTTTCATGAATTATGGTTGGAGAATGTAGATTGAATGAATTTTCACTCGTTAATTGAACGTACACGGTAATTAATTTGGAGATTGTAGATTATTGTAATAATGGAACTGATGAATTAAAATTGAGTATGATAACGGAGGGTAATGCGCCGGGAAACGAGCGTCAGCCTGCTCGATTATGGCCGTTGAGTAATAGGATTTTGGGTCACTTGGATGACAACGATGGAAGGCGAATGGAATTGTTTTTTTTTTCAGGAGGTGATTTGGAGATGAAGGTTCTTTTGTGAGAAATTTGGAGGAATTAAATTTGAGGGGGTAATTCGGGGATGAAAATTCTGTGGGAGATTTGGGGAAATTGAGATGAATAATTGAGAGGAGGATGAGAGTTGTAATGAAATAGAATTGATTTCGTTTCTTGGAGATAATTTGGGTGTGATGATTCTTTGGGAAATTTGGGGTAACTGGGATCTGTAATTGTGAGGACGGGGAGGATGATTAAGGGGCAGTAAAATTGTTTTTTGAGGGATAATTTTGGGATTGAGATTCTATGGGAATTTTGAAGGGAAATTGGGAGGAATAATTGTAAGGAATATTAAAATGAGATAGAAGTAATTTTTTTAGAGGGATAATTTTGGGATAAAGATTCTATGAGAAATCTAAGGGAAAATTGGCATGAATAATCGTACAGAGGAGGAAGGGGGTTAAAATGAAATAGAATTAATTTTTTAAAGGTAATTTGGGAATGTAGGTACTATGGAAAATTGGAAAAAATTGGGATGAATGATTGTAAAGAGGAAAAAGAGGGTTAAAGTGAAATAGAATTAATTTTTTGGGGGATAATTTGGGAATAAAGATTCTGAGAAATTTGGGGTAGTTGGGATGAATAATTGCAAAGAGGAGAGGGATTAAAAAGAAGTAAAATTGTTTTTTGGAGGATAATTTTACAGTGACACTGGGATGAATAATTCTAAGAAGGCGAATGAAGATTCAAATTAACCTTAGTACAGCCTTTGGGTCTTTTTTGACCCGTCGCTTTCTAATTTTTTTAATAACTTTTGCTGTTAACGAATTTCTGTTCCCTTAACGCCATATTGAAAGCTTATTGTTTCTGTTCATATGGCGTTCTGGTAACAACAATTGTTACGCATAAGGTCTTTGGGTCTTTTTTGACCTAACGCCTTAAGTATAGGTGTGATGGAACGGGAGAACGCATTAGGGTTAATTAAAATTGCTTCTGAAGGATAATTTGGGGATGAAGAGTCCATGGGAAACAGGGTGAAAGTGAAAATTCCAAAAATCCTATACCAAAAAAAAAAAACGCAAAAAGCGAACCACTCTTCTTCGTTTCGAATTTAATTTTCCGGTCGGAGAGCCGAATGTTGGATAATCGCTGGATGTATGCCGTGGTTGTGGAAGCACGAGAACCCCCCCGTTCAATAACGCAAACACACGAATCCGAGAAGCTCGTCGCATTCCCCAGGCCGCGGAAACCCTGCGACTTTCTCGAATCAGCTTTGCACCAGGCACTGTTGGATGCACTGCTGGAGTATTGGTTTCGGTGTTCGAGAGGAGGCGAGGAGATTGAAACGTTGAATGGGGATGGATGAAGGTATTGTGCCGCTTCGAAGGAGGATGTATCGTTGAAACGTGCATTCCTCCGCGACTCTATAACCCGAGCTATCTAAAAACGAAGGAGAAGAGAGGATAACGACGATGCAGAAACCCATCGAGGAGAATTTATACCATCGAAATAGGGATTAGCGTGGAATTTTTCAATTTTCACCTTGGAACTGATGAGATGTAGATTCATTTTTTTTTTCTCCTTTTTTTTGAGGACACTTTTAGTTCAAATTCTCGTGGTACTTGTGAATAGCGACGTAGCGTAAGTGCGGGGATTGTAGATTATTGTGATATAGTGATATCGATGCTTGAAGTTTATTGGAAATGTGTCTGTATAGTTTCATGAATTATGGTTGGAGAATGTAGATTGAATGAATTTTCACTCGTTAATTGAACGTACACGGTAATTAATTTGGAGATTGTAGATTATTGTAATAATGGAACTGATGAATTAAAATTGAGTATGATACTGTAAATCATGGTTGGAGAATATAGATCGCACTCTGAACCTCCCCAATTACGCTCATCTCTTGAAACTATCTCAATTGATATTAATAATCGAAGAAAGAGAAACGTGTGAGCTGAAAATGTTCATCTTTTAGTAAAAGCAACTAAGCTTCGGTAGCAATTGCACGTTCGAATTGAATTCCATTACATACTAACTTAATATCAATTTCAACGCCGTCGCTATTAATTTTTTGAGGACACTTTTAGTTCAAATTCTCGTGGTACTTGTGAATAGCGACGTAGCGTAAGTGCGGGGATTGTAGATTATTGTGATATAGTGATATCGATGCTTGAAGTTTATTGGAAATGTGTCTGTATAGTTTCATGAATTATGGTTGGAGAATGTAGATTGAATGAATTTTCACTCGTTAATTGAACGTACACGGTAATTAATTTGGAGATTGTAGATTATTGTAATAATGGAACTGATGAATTAAAATTGAGTATGATACTGTAAATCATGGTTGGAGAATATAGATCGCACTCTGAACCTCCCCAATTACGCTCATCTCTCGAAACTATCTCAATTGATATTAATAATCGAAGAAAGAGAAACGTGTGAGCTGAAAATGTTCATCTTTTAGTGAAAGCAACTAAGCTTCGGTAGCAATTGCACGTTCGAATTGAATTCCATTACATACTAACTTAATATCAATTTCAGCGCCGCCGCTATTAATTTCAAATTAAATAGAAAATTCATCAACTCCCTTTCTCTCAATATTAATAAGACGAACTTTAACAGAAAATTGACCAGGAATTACTGAATTTCTATGCGATTCACCATTACTATTACTTTCAAATTTAATAAAAAATTGATCAACTCCTTTTTTTCTCAATGTAAGACTAACTTTAACAGAAAATTGACCAGGAATTACTGAATTTCTATGCGATTCACCATTACTATTACTTTCAAATTTAATAAAAAATTGATCAACTCCTTTTTTTCTCAATGTAAGACTAACTTTAACAGAAAATTGACCAGGAATTACTGAATTTCTATGCGATTCACCATTACTATTACTTTCAAATTTAATAAAAAATTGATCAACTCCTTTTTTTCTCAATGTAAGACTAACTTTAACAGAAAATTGACCAGGAATTACTGAATTTCTATGCGATTCACCATTACTATTACTTTCAAATTTAATAAAAAGTTGATCAACTCCCTTTTTCCTCGATATAAAATGAACTCCGTCAGAAAATTGACTATGCGATTCACCATCGCTATTAATTTCAAGTTAAATAAAATATTTCTCAATATAAGGCAAACTCTTACAGGAAATTGACTAAGAAATAATGAATTACTATGCGATTCACGTTTCCAAGGTCTGGATATACGGTGATATATGGTGCTCCATCTGGCTGGCGGTGGACGTATGGATGTGCACGGCTTCGATATTGAATTTGTGTGCCATCAGCCTGGATAGATACTTAGCGGTGACCAGGCCAGTCAGTTATCCTCAGGCAAGTACCATTTACCGGTTATTCGATTTCGTGGAACAGGTGTACGGGCAACGCTCGACGAAGCCATTTGTCTCCTATAGTTTGTCTCCTACGCTTTACCTCCTCCTCCTCTTCTGTCCTCAAATAGCCTGTGTCCCTTCGAACGGGTTAACTGATCGACTGTTATTGAACTTGGAACATTCGACTCTTGCGACACGTTGATCCGCGCGATAGATAAGTATACGAATTGAATAATTGCGATTGTTTCGTGGATTTCTGTCGTGGAAATTTGGATTGAGTATTGAGGAAATACAGCAGGATGGACATTTTTGATTTACTAAGCCTTCCAAACGTTTCTCGGAATTTATACAATAGAAGGTTTCGATAGTGGAAAATTAAAAATTACTGGAGGCTTACAGAGAATTCTAAGCGTTTTCAAAAATACTCGGAGATTTCCTGAGCCTTCCAAAGATTCCTAGAAGTTTCTGCAAAATTCCTGGAGATCTCTAAACACTCGCAAGAAATTATAAAGCTTCACAAAGCCTTCCAAGAATTTCTGAAAATTCCCAAATAATCACAGATATACTCCGTAAGAAAACAAATTTAACGTCTCCTATTGATCCAGCAATTCACGGTGAATAACGTCGAAAATTACCTTAGATTTCTAAGCGTTTTCAAAAATACTCAGTTTTCCAAACCTTCTCAAAGATTCCCAGAAATGCCTGCAAAATTCCCAGAGATCTCTAAGCACTCGCAAGAAATTCCAAAGCTTCACAAAGCCTTCCAAGAATTTCTAAATATTCCCAAGTATTCCTGAAGCTTCAAAAAAATTCCCAAACGTTCCTGAAGCTTTAAAAAACTTCCCAAGTATTCGTGAAGCTTCAAACAAATACCCAAATATTCCTGAAAAGATTAAAAATATTCCCAAAGACACCCCGTGTTTAACAAACATAAAACACAAATTCAACGTCTCCTGTTAATACACCGGAGAGTAACGTCGAAAATTACCTTGAAAATATAGATCATGTCGCCGAAGAGAGCGAGGCTGCTGGTCGCTACCGTGTGGATTCTGAGCTTCATCATCTGCTTCCCACCCCTGGTCGGTTGGAAAGACAAACGGGTAACTATCAGAAGCACAGTGGACAGTTTGTTCCCCCGTTACACGCTGTCCTTCTACTTTCTTCCCTTCGTTTCACAGTCTCATCCCGCGTACAACGTGACATTCTCTCAGAACGGGCCGTTCAACACCACCACCATCTTGGTCCCGGTGAAACCGTGTTCCTGGATCTGCGAGCTGACCAACGACGCTGGCTACGTCGTCTACAGGTGAGTGAGACGGCGAAACTGGTGCTCCGCGAGAGTAAAATAGAAGCCGCGTTCTTGATTTGTCGGAGAAGAATTCTCAGGGAAAATTGTCCCTTTTATCGGAGTGCAGGAGGAAATTGCTGAGACGAGGGTTGCTGAAACGGAGCGGAAAAGCAATTTCGATGGAAATTTCAGAGATGAAGATTTTTCAGAAATTCGGAAAAATTTAGAATGACAGTTTGAGGAACATTTTTGGGGGATTAGGAGCTGGGGGAGTTTTTTGATGTTTCGATATTGAAGTTTCGTTGGTTTTGATAATTGAATGCGTTGAAATTTCTACGCTTCCGCGTTGCGAAATTTTCACGCCTCGATACTGGGGTATCTATGGTAAATATGAAATTTTATGATGCGTCGGTAGGTGGAAATTCGGAAAATTTGACGCGCTTCGATAGTGCCAATTTCATAGTGCTGCCACGTTAATCCTCGGAAATCTTGAACCTTCGATGTTGAAATCAATTGAAAAATTTTCAAATTTCGACATTGCAATTTCCAAAAATTTACTCTTTGAAAACCCTCATTTCCGAACATAATCATCACAATATACATTATTTCTCCTTACTTACAATCATGCCATGTGACACAGTGGAGGGAAATGAACTAACAAATCTCCAAATTTGAAAACTTGTAATTTCCAAAAGTTTACTTTTCTAAAACCCTCATTTCTCAAACATAATTACCACCATATACAATATTTCTCCCTACTCACAATTATGCCACGTAACACAGTGAAGCAATATTAATTAAAAAGTCTCCAAACTTCAGTACTTCCAAATTCCAAAATTTTACTTTTCCCAAACATAGTTACCACAATATACAATATTTCTCCCTACTCACAGTTATGCCACGTGACACAGTGAAGCAATATTAATTAAAAAGTCTCCAAACTTCAATTCTTCCAAATTGCAAAACTTTACTTTACCAAAACATAATTATCACAATATACATTATTTCTCCCTACTCACAATTATGCCACGTGACGCAGTGAAGCAATATTAATTAAAAAGTCTCCAAACTTCAGTACTTCCAAATTCCAAAATTTTACTTTTCCAAAACCCTTGTTTCCCAAACATAATTACCACAATATACACTATTTCTCCCTGCTCAAAAATTATGCCACGTGACACAGTGAAGCAATATTAATTAAAAAGTCTCCAAACTTCAGTACTTCCAAATTCCAAAATTTTACTTTTCCAAAACTCTCATTTCCCAAACATAATTACCACCATATACAATATTTCTCCCTACTCACAGTTATGCCACGTGACACAGTGAAGCAATATTAATTAAAAAATCTCCAAACTTCAGTACTTCCAAATTCCAAAATTTTACTTTTCCCAAACATAGTTACCACAATATACACTATTTCTCCCTGCTCAAAAATTATGCCGCGTGACACAGTGAAGCAATATTAATCAAAAAATCTCCAAACTTCAATACTTCCAAATTCCAAAATTTCTCAACCACAATCATCCCAACGAGGTACAGTTTCCTCCAACTCAGAATTATGATACACGGCACAGAGGATACAGTAGAACTAAATTGTCGGCGTAATCGAGTTCCAGCAGGCGCGAATTCACCGCGGTAACAGGAATTATTAGGACATCGAGAGGGAGGTCTGAATTTCTGGCAAATGGCGCGTCTATTCTTACCACGTTATCGTGATCACACCGTGCATCAATCCACGCCGGTTTATGCGCGACGCCGCATCTAAATCAACCACTGAGTAGACGGTTAATGTTCCATCGTGTGTTAGGCGAATTTACGATCGTTCCTGGCTACCAGGCGTTATCAGTTTCACTTTGCTCGCGATATTTCACTTTTTCACGTGGATCAAACGAAAAAAAAGAAAAAAAGAAAAACGCTTTCCTTTCCTCGAGCACGTGTCGCGCGAGTAGAAAAAGATACAGCGGCTGGTGCATCGGAATTGACGTCGATCGATGACGCGATAGCGAGGAAGAATGACGTGGTTATTATAGTAACAGATGGTGTGGCAGATGAGCACCGATATTTGCGCTTTTTCCGACAAAGGAATCTTTTGAGGTAAATCATTTGCAATTCTGTAATGTTTGAATTATAGTTAAAGAAGTATATTTGCTGAAATTTTGAGAAATAGTAATGTGAAATTGAGCAATAAGATTTTTTGGATGGGAAAATGTAAAAGTTCTGAAGAAACTGTGATTTTAACATCGAATTGCCCACCTTCCACCTTTAACCATTTAAATATCGAATCGTGGAGCAATTTATTTACAACTATTAAATTATTCATGCAGTTTGCAAAATTCCAAGTCACTAAAATACATTTCCAAGAGATTTCTAAGTTCTAAATCATGAAACAATATTTTTAAATATTGCAAATATTATTAACAAAAGTTTCTACTCAAAATATAGAAATAATTATGAAACAGAAATTCTGGGGGTACAATACTAAATTCATTAATATTAGTTCTCACAGTGGTGCAGTAAAAGCTACCACAAAAATCTGCCCGATTTTGCATAAAAAAATGAACTGAAAAAAATACCAGCTTCGTTCGTAAAATTTTCAAAAACATCACAGTCTGGAACAGTGTGCAAAGTACAGAAGTATATCTTTAAATCAGCGTGCAGGACGCCTTCCGTCATCTGCAAAAGGATACGCGATCGTCGACGCGAAATTTCATACTCGAGTTCGTTTCGTTTTTCCAGTGTCGCAGGAGAGATCGAAAGATAGAAGATAAAACGCCCTCTATTCATCAGCGTCTATTGTGCTCGTGTCAACAAAGGGACACAAGTTGATCCCTTATCTGATACAAAGAGCAATACTGTAGACAAACAGTAGCTTTATCCATAGACACGAAGTTTACAAGGCTATCTGCGAATGTACCAGCGTTTCGTATCTTCCCTTGGTTATATAGAAAAAGATATGTCAAAGCGGCACACTGAAATTCAATGAAAACTACACGGGTTCCTTTTCCATCCTACCGTTTCACGTACATATATACAATCTCTTCGATTCGTCCTGGATCTTTTAGCGAGAACGTGCATGAATTGAATTGGAGCACAATCACACAAATGATTCGTTAATGTTGAATTTTCGTGAATTCGTTACGAGGGAGGGTGTTGTGTATTTAGTTGCCTTTGAGGGAAGAATTTTGGCGTAGAGAATGATTTAGAATTCCGTACAGATTTTTTTTTTATTTAATTTTGAAATTTTAGTTTAGTATCAATTTCAAAAATTGTACTTTTTGCAATTTGTAATTTCATACTGTCCACCCAAATCAGTCATCTTCGATTCATGTAAAATTAGGGGTAGTTTAAGTCACCATTTCGCAAATTTCTAATTTATTTAAAAAATTCAGCACGTCAAACTTGATAATTTCACATAAATTGTAGAATAACTCAACAGTAATTTCCCTGAAATTAATCACCTCTAATTTTCCAAATACACAATTCTACAGTTTTTCACTCAACTCAACAGTAATTTCCCTCAGATTAATCATCTCTCATTTTCCAAATACACAATTCCACAACTTTTCACTCAACTCGACACTAATTTCCCTCACATTAATCGCCTCTTATTTTCCAAATACACAATTCCACAATTTTTCACTCAACTCAACACTAATTTCCCTCAAACTATCATCTTCCATTTCCCAAATACACAATTCCACAACTTTTCACTCAACTCGACACTAATTTCCCTCACATTAATCGCCTCTTATTTTCCAAATACACAATTCCACAATTTTTCACTCAACTCAACAATAATTTCCCTCAAATTAATCACCTCTAATTTTCCAAATACACAATTCTACAATTTTTCACTCAACTCAGCAGTAATTTCCCTCAGGTTAATCATCTCTCATTTTCCAAATACACAATTCCACAATTTTTCACTCAACTCGACACTAATTTCCCTCACATTAATCGCCTCTTATTTTCCAAACATCCTTTAAAACCTCCTGAAACCTCGTTTCGAGGAAATGCGTATATCCAAAGCTGAAATAAAACGAAAAAAGGAACCGAGGAAAATAGAAATGCAGGATCGTTAATTAATCCCCTCTCGAGGCAGAGAAGCGAAACGAAACGGAACGAAAGGACTTAACAGGTGGCTCCATTAAACGCGATCCGCGTCTGAGAACGCCCGAGGGATGAGAGAAGGCGAAAGATGCCTTTCCTGCAACGAAATTATCCTCCTTCGTACATAACCTCTCTCCTCTCTCCCGGTGTATCGTTGTAAATTAAAAATTTGTTATTTCCAGCGCGCTGGGTTCCTTCTATATACCGATGCTGGTCATGCTGTTTTTCTATTGGAAGATCTACAACGCCGCCGTCTCCACCACGAAGGCCATTAATCAAGGCTTCCGTACGACAAAGGGCTCGAAAATGCTAGGATCCAGGTAAAAATGTTTCACCAACCGGATAAAATGGTAAAGGAAGGGAAATCACGACGCGACGTTTATTCTGTCTCCTTTTCGATCGTTGTACCGGAAGCGACGTCGATCGCGCGCTACAATTCTCAGTCGAGCTCTTTTAAAACGGGGGTTGCTTTTGTTCCACTGATTCGCTGTTATCCAGCTGTTTCAAAGCTGTCTTTCTGCTCTACTTTAACCCTTTGCTGGCTTTATGCAACGTGTAACCGGGTTAATTCTTAAATTTTTTGCTTGGGTTTATCGTTGGGTTGCGAGATTGTCGTGAATAAGACGGTGGCCGGGTCAAATGTGACCCAACGTCGGGTGAATTTCAGTGGTTTTGGAAAAATTGGGAAGGGTGGAAGGTTTTTGTGTTTAATTGTTTTTTGGGGCTTTCGAGGGTGAACTGTGTCCTTGTGAAAAAAGTATTCCGACTTATTATGAAAGCCTAAGCATTACAGCTCATTTCGTCAGGGTTCGTGAAACGCGGTGATAACGTCACACACTTGAAAGCTCGATGATAACTATGCTTGGGGTCTTGAAAGCCTTAAATCTTCGATTCTTTCTCTTTATTTATTTATTTACTGAATTTATACAGAAGAAGAAGTTACGATATTTATTTCACGTTAATTATTGTTATTGGGATTATTACTCGGCGAACGAATTATGTATGTAGCGAAGTCTCGCGTAAAATGTAGCATGTTACATGATACCATGTAACTTGCAATTTGCATGGTGCTGTAAAAGTTTAAGGGATGCCTGAGGATTTTTGTGTATTTAGAGCACTGTTGAGAGACTTAAGTTGGAGATTTTGAACTTTGAGGTGATTCATAGATTCGTATTTCTTGGTTTCTGTTTTCTTTTTTTTTTTTAAAGGATTGGTGGGAGAAATATGGGCCACATTTTATGCTGTCTGAAAAGGAGATACTAGAGATCGAATCATCTCGGGTTGAAGATTTTCAACATTTGAGATGATTGCTAGGTTCACACTTGTTTTAGTTAGGAAGATGTGGACCATGTTTCACGAAGTTTAAATATTAAAATCGAGAAGAAAATACTAAGGATTGAATCATCTCAGGTTGAAGATTTGCAACATTTCAGACGATCGACAGATTCACATTTCTTCCTTTTTTTTTTTCGGAAGACGTGGACCATGTTCTGTGACGACAGAATATTGAAGTGGAAAAAGGAGATACTAGAGATTGAATGGTGAAAAAATTAAGAAAAGTTAATGTATTCCACGTGAATTTCTGCTCAGATTCGACGAACAGAGGTTGACATTGAGGATCCACCGAGGTCGGGGAAGCGTCCACAACGGGAGCAACAATGGTAGCCCGAGGAGCCCTGAGTCGAATAGCCGTAGCTCGGTGAAAAGGGAGAAGATAAAGATCTCGGTGTCGTATCCGAGCACGGAGACGCTGAATACCAAGTGTAACACCCTCGAGAGAACACCCTCGAGATGCTCTCAGACCTCTGTGCACTATAGTAACGGGCAGACGCACAGTCAACTATGTCCCACCCCAAGAAGCACACATCTGAAGGTAATTTCTCCATTCAGATGAATTGTTATCATCCAAACCACCCATTCTATGTCGTTATTACTTTCCTGTGAAAAGAAACGTAATTTCCAAGAGCCGAGGATTTTTAGAAAAATTGATAGGAATCTGGAAGAATATTAATACTCGTTTTATTGCAAAAAGGAAGATAATTTCCAAAAGCAGAGGATTTTTAGAAAAATTGGAGGAAATCTATCAGAGAGATAAACTATGGAGAATTTCAATAAAGGATAATAAGGAGATTATTGAATTAGTTTATTTCGTAAGTTATTTATATTTTCTTATTCTTTTTCTCTATCGAAAGTTTTAGCTTCTCTCGCGAACGATTAAATTTTCTGAAATGTAAATGAAGGATGGAACCTGGCAGAGGTATAGAGGTCTCCATAAATATTCAGCGGCGGCTCTGAACACCTTGAATTCTATCACTATCTAAATAACCCTCGAGCTCTTTTTAATTCCCGGCAACGAGGAAGAAATCACGCGTCGTTACCTTAAATCCTGTCCACGGGAAAAAGACAGAACCCGAATAAACCTTGCTAAATAAGAAACTTATTAATTTCCTCGCGTTTCGAACGCTTCGCCCTCTTCACCCGAGGCATAATAGGATACTTAACTCCGGCACGGTCCTCGAATCTTTCTCTCATTTCTTCAAAAACTTTCCCAATTTCGCCAAAAATATGAAAAAATTCGAAAACTTCGTTACTCTCGAAATAATCAAATTCTCTTTCAATCTTTGTGGAATTTCAAAGTTTTTAATATCTTACATATAAAAATAGTCATTGCTCTCGAAATCTAGAATTTTTCTAAACTTCTGAAAATTGCAAAAATCACTTTTCCTTGAATTTTCAATATTTCACAAATTTTCGAACAAATACATTACTGCTCTGGAAATCTAGAAATTTTCTAACCACCTAAAAATTGCAAAAACAGCTTTTTTCTAAATTTCTAATATTCCACGCACTTTTGAACAAATAATATTTGAATTACTATAAGTTAAGGAAAATTAAGTAAAAAATCTCCAGAATTCAATACTTCCAAATTCCAAAATTTTACTTTTCCAAAACTCTCATTTCCCAAACATAATTACCACCATATACACTATTTCTCCCTACTCAAAAATTATGCCATGTGACACAGTGAAGTAATATTAATTAAAAAGTCTCCAAACTTCAATACTTCCAAATTCCAAAATTTTATCCTTTGAGAACCCTCATTTCCCAGAGATAATTACCACAATATACGTTATTTCTTCTCACTTACAATTATGGCACGTGACTAAGTTAAGGAAGATTAAGTACAAGATCTCCAAAATTCAATACTTCCAAATTCCAAAATTTTATCCTTTGAGAACCCTCATTTTCCAGAGATAATTACCACAATATACGTTATTTCTTCTCACTTACAATTATGGCACGTGACTAAGTTAAGGAAGATTAAGTAAAAGATCTCCAAACTTCAATACTTCCAAATTCCAAAATTTTACTTTTCCAAATATCACAATATATATTATTTCTTCCCACTCGCAATTATACAACATGACAGTGTCTTTTCTTAAATTTTCAAAATTTCACACATTCTTAAACACACACTATCCCTCTGAACACCTGAAAATTTTCTAACCCCCTAAAAATTGCAAAAACGACTTCTTCCCAAATTCCAAACATTCAAAAATTGCAAAAATCACTTTTCCTTGAATTTTCAATATTTCACAAATTTTCGAACAAATACATAATTGCTCTGGAAATTAAAAAATTTTCTAACCCCCTAAAAATTGCAAAAACAGCTTTTTTCTAAATTTCTAATATTCCACACACTCCTAAACAAATAATACTCGAATCACTATACCTGAGAAATATCTCTCCTCCCGTTCCCCCTTCCTCCATTCCACAAATTATTAAACCTAGAATCACGGGAACTTTTCCTACACACCGTACCGTATCACCAAGATTACTATATTTGCATAAAGAAAGGGGAGAGAGAGAGACACACGGGGGGGCCATAAATGGTTGACGCTCGGAATAATTCAAGCTCGGTGTACGAGAATAATGCGCCGGTAACGCTCCAGCGAGCATTTAGTTTCGGATTTTTACGATTCTCGAGTTAGTAATTCACCGAGTGAAACCCGGAAAAGAGCTTGTATACCGCGGGTATCTGTGGATTCGCCTTTACGATTGAAAAGGGGCGGCGGAGGAGGAGAAGCTGGGGGGTTTACGAGGAGATCGTAAAGCGTAGGACGCGTGTAGTTTACGTGTACGCGGAGGAAACGATCGGGAAAGGGTGTCGTTAAACGTGGAGGTGATACGTTCGCGACAGGTGAGCGGTATCAACAGGGTTGGCAGCACCAGGAGGCCGAGCAGACGGAGTAGCTGCGAGAGTCAAATGACGGGGGACGAGGTGTCGCTGAAAGAACTCACGCCAGGCACGGAAGAGAAGCCCAGAGTGATGAAAATGGGCAAGAGGAACATCAAAGCTCAGGTGAAATTTATACCGTTTGTGAAATTTTAGGATTAATCCAAGTGAAAGGAGCTCTTGAAATGGAAGTTTAGAAATTTTTGGGAGGTTTGTGTTGTAGTTTAAGTAAATTGAATTTTAATACATTTTTGTTGAAACATTGGTGTTGGTATTGTAAATGATATTTGTAATTTTATTTTTTTATTGTTTCTCATGGTTTTTGTGATAATTTACGAGAGATTGATTTGAAAAATTCTTAGGCGATTTGTAAAGTAAAAGTTCACGAATTTTTGGTGAATTAATATTAAAGAAAATTAACTTTCAATAAATTTTCCTTGAAAGATTGATATTATTTTTGTAAACAATATTCCTAATTTTGTAAGTTTACTTTTCTAATTATTTTCCACGGTTTTCGTGATATTCCTCCAGAGATTCTCAGTAAATAATATTGTAATCCAAACATATTAAATTTCAATAAGTTTTCCTTAAAAATATTGATATTAATGTTATAAGTAATATTCCTAATTTAGTATTTCTACTTCTCCATTTGTTGTCTCATTATTTCATATTTTTTTCGTGATAATTCACCAGAGATTAGTTCGAAAAATTCTCAATAAACAATATTGTAATCTAAACAAATTAAATTTCACTAAATTTTCGTTAAAAGATCGATATTACTTTGAATAATATTTCTAATTTTGTAATTTCACTTTTCCAATTAATTTCCACGGTTTTCGTGGTAATTCTCCAGGGATTCATTCGAAAAATTCTAAGACAGAAAATACGATAGGAACTAAATGAAACGAGCAACAATTTCTGCCTCAGGTGAAGAGATTTCGAATGGAGACGAAGGCCGCGAAGACTCTCGGCATCATCGTAGGTGGATTCATCCTCTGTTGGCTACCATTCTTCACGATGTACCTGGTGCGCGCATTCTGCCCCAATTGCATCCATCCCACAGTTTTCAGCGTGTTATTTTGGCTGGGCTATTGCAACTCGGCGATAAACCCGTGTATCTACGCGCTGTTCAGCAAAGACTTCCGGTTCGCGTTTAAGAGAATCATCTGCAAGTGCTTCTGCAAGCAGAGAGCTAACACTCTGAGACGCGGCAGCGACGGCAGCCAATTGGCCATGAGGTGAGCGCAGATTGAATTAAAAGTGAGATCTAACATGCACACTCTAAACGAAGAAATACACTTTCGAGTACTTTAAATAGAAACGTGAATGATAAAATTGGTACTTGAGGAGTTTAGATTGAAATTCAAGCTGTTTCAGTGATTTTGTTTGAGATCGACGCTTTTAGAGAACGTTAGAATTGGAATTGATTGATCTGAGTTGATATTTGAGATTATCGGGAGAATTGTAATTGGAAATAGATCATTTTTTAACGATTTTAATTGAAATTCGATATCGAAAGGTAGAATTGGGGTTCTCCAAGTTGTCTGATATTGAATCTAATGGACCTAGTTCAAAATAACAGTCCTCCAAGTGATTCAAGTTGAAATTAAATGGTCCAAGACTAAATTAGCAGTCTTCCAAGTGATCCAAGCCTAAATTAGAGATTCCTTAATTTGTGCAAATTGAAAGCCAATACTCTGAAACATCCAGACCTTCCAACTTCTCTGAATTACTATTGACAGCTACTTAAATCCACTGACCTCACCTAACAGAACCAATCTAAACAGCCTAATAATTCTCGTCACCTTTTTCCAATTTCAAAGAAATCTTTAACCCTTTGAAACCCGAAACACTTTTCCTCGACTGCCATTTCAGAGTCAACATAGAAAAAGAAGAAAAAGAAAATTCCACTGATTTTAGTTACTCAAAATTCACACCCTTCTTAATTTAAAATTCAAAGTGTTAAAATTCTTATTTATTCATCAAAGGGTTAATCGTTGAAAACCAGTGTTAGTTCCCTCCAAAGTCAACATTTCACGAAAAAGGAAGGAAATGAAAATTCCACTGATTTTAGTTACTCAAAATTCACACCCTTGTTAATTAAAAATTCAAAGGGTTAAAGTTCTCATTTACTCATCAAAGGGTTAATCGTTGAAAACCAGTGTTAGTTCCCTCCAAAGTCAACATTTCACGAAAAAGGAAGGAAATGAAAATTCCACTGATTTTAGTTACTCAAAATTCACACCCTTGTTAATTAAAAATTCAAAGGGTTAAAGTTCTCATTTACTCATCAAAGGGTTAATCGTTGAAAACCAGTGTTAGTTCCCTCCAAAGTCAACATTTCACGAAAAAGGAAGGAAATGAAAATTCCACTGATTTTAGTTACTCAAAATTCACACCCTTGTTAATTAAAAATTCAAAGGGTTAAAGTTCTCATTTACTCATCAAAGGGTTAATCGTTGAAAACCAGTGTTAGTTCCCTCCAAAGTCAACATTTCACGAAAAAGGAAGGAAATGAAAATTCCACTGATTTTAGTTACTCAAAATTCACACCCTTGTTAATTAAAAATTCAAAGTGTTAAAATTCTTATTTACTCATCAAAGGGTTAATCGTTGAAAACCAACGTTGGTTCTCTCCAAAGTCAGCATTCCCACAAAAAAAGAAGAAAAAGAAAATTCCACTGATTTTAGTTACTCAAAATTCACACACTTCTTAATTTAAAATTCAAAGTGTTAAAATTCTTATTTATTCATCAAAGGGTTAATCGTTGAAAACCAACGTTGGTTCTCTCCAAAGTCGACATTCCCAAAAAAAAAAGAAGAAAAAGAAAATTCCACTGATTTTAGTTACTCAAAATTCACACCCTTGTTAATTAAAAATTCAAAGGGTTAAAGTTGTTATTTACTCATCAAAGGGTTAATCGTTGAAAACCAGCGTTGGTTCTCCCCAAAAAAAAAGAAGAAAAAGAAAATTCCACCGAGTTTACTTACTCAAAATTCACACCCTTGGTAATGTAAAATTCAAAGGATGAAAATTCTCATTCATACGTCAATAATTCTCATCATCCTTTCCCAACTCGAAGATCATTTATCTTTAACCCTTCGAAACTCCAGCAATTTTTCCCCGACTGTCATTTCAGAGTCAACATTCCCACCCCCAAAAAAAGAAGAAAAGGAAAATTCCACCGAGTTCACTCACACCTTTCTCGATTGAAAATTCAAAGACCCCAAAATTTCGTTAATCAGCTAGTTAGTCCTCCCCAAAAAAATGTCCACTCGTCTGCTCGCAGAAACGACCGGAGTCCGAGCTACTCGATGCGAATGCCTCAACAGGGAGTCTCCATCGACGATTCAGACCCAGATCCAAGCTCAGAGCCCACGGTTCACTCTCAGAGCGAGTCCAGATGACTGTAGCGTGCCAAGAGTGGCGCGCAGCGCGTCACCTTCGACTCGAGGACCTCGAAAGTGAGGATCCAGTCCTTCTGACGGGCCACCGAATAGTCCAGCCTCCACGTCACAGTGCCGCGAAATCGAGCACGGTCGACCCATTCGAAAAAAAGCAAAACAAAAATCAGTATCAGCTGGATTCACCTGAGATTCGTGAAACAAACAGTCGAGCTTCATCGGTGTCTTAACTTCATTTCTCTGGCGAGTCACGCGATCTGCACAGACCGTTGGGAGAAGAAAAAGAGAGACGCTCCTAAGAAGAAATATGGTTCCGCTCAATACTAGTCCGTAGCTCGAGACTGAACACGTGTAATAATTAACGAGAAGAACGAAACGAAACGGGACAGGAACCGAACTGAAACAGGGGAGAAACACAGTTTTGTGAATAAAGTAGGTGTGTCACTTTTGCCAACAAGTGAACTTACCTTGTGCTTTCTCGCCGCAAGGTTGTCGCGAGTTCTCTCTGTTCGAACGATTCGAATCATTCGAGAGGTTTCTTGGTTGTGAATAAGTGTGAACGAAGAGAAGATTAATAGTGAGAAAAGACTGTTTTTTTTTTGGGGGCGTTTTTTTTCGACGGGGAAAGAAAGAAGTGATCCATTAAATACGTAACGTACGTGTGTCGATATCTATGTGTACACAGCCTATGTTAAGACTAAAAAGGTCTGGTTATCCTTCCGGAAGCGAACGCGCTGTCGAAGCTCCCTCTGGCCTCTCAGCTAACCGCCATCGTTGCCGTCACATTGTTTCCGTAGATTTTTTACCGTTCCTCGTTCGTTATTTGTGATAATAGCGTTGTAACGATCGCCTTTGCTCGAATCGTCGCGATAATATCGGTGTCGTACGGGTTCATTCAAAAAAATCGAGAAAGGAGGATTTCTTGCGAAGGATATTGTACGCGTGTGTGTGTTTGTATATGTTAGTAGTGTGACGAAGGTGGACATTTTTTGGGGGATTTTTTTTTTTGTTTTTTTTGTTTCTTTATTATGGGCGAGACTAATTTTGGAACCTAAGATACGCACACACGCGTGCAGTTACACGCATGTGTACGAAGGTAAAGCGTTATGTATATGTACATCGATGCCGTTTTAAAGGAGGATTAAAAAGGAAGAAGGAGAAACTCGCGTTGAGACATTTTGTACGTGCCCCATTTACGATTCTTTCTCGAATGTTCTTTGTCGATCGTAAGGAAAGGGGCGGAGGGGACAGAGGGACATCCGAAATCGGCGAGGTTCATTGTATTATGTGATATATCGTCTACAATACGTAACGAAACGAATGGAAAGAATAAATATTGCGAATAAATCCATGATCGTTGATCCTTTCGAGGGAGTTGATTATTTTTCGACCCCTGTGTTGTTGTTTGTTTTTAGAAGGCGGTGGAGTAAGTGTTTTGGGGGAAATTTTGAGGTGTTGTGGTTGGTGTTTGAGAGTCTTGGAAGGAGAGATCTTTGTAAGATTTGAGAGTTGAATGTGGGGGAGTTGGAATTTTTGAAGTTTGATCGTTTTGGAGGTGGTGAGATTGGGAGCGTGTTAGAATTTGAGGTCTTGAGGTGTGAAAGTTAGGGTGTTTGAGAATTTTTATGTTTGGAAGCTTGGAAATTTGAAAATTCGAATGTTTGAAAGCTTGAAAGTTCGAAACTTTGAAAGTTTGAAAGCTTGAAAGTTCGAAACTTTGAAAGTTTGAAAGCTTGAAAGTTCGAAACTTTGAAAGTTCGAAAGTTTGAAATTTTAGAATTTTAGGAAGTTTGAAAGTTTGAAAGTTCGAAAGTTTGAAAGTTTGAAAATTTGGAATTTTGGGAAGTTTGAGAGCTTGAAAGTTGGAATTTTGGGAAGTTTGAGAGCTTGAAAGTTCGAAACTTTGAAAGTTTGAAAGCTTGAAAGTTCGAAACTTTGAAAGTTCGAAAGTTTGAAATTTTAGAATTTTAGGAAGTTTGAAAGTTTGAAAGTTCGAAAGTTTGAAAGTTTGAAAATTTGGAATTTTGGGAAGTTTGAGAGCTTGAAAGTTCGAAACTTTGAAAGTTTGAAAGCTTGAAAATTTGGAATTTTGGGAAGTTTGAAAGTTTGAAAGTTCGAAAGTTCGAAAGTTTGAAAGTTTAAAAATTTGGAATATTGAAAAGCTTGCAAATTTGTAAATTTGAAAATTTGGAGGTTTGAAATTTTGGAAATACGAAAGTTCGGAAGTTTGAAAATTTGAAAGTTTGAAAATTTGGAATATTGAAAAGCTTGCAAATTTGTAAATTTGAAAATTTGGAGGTTTGAAATTTTGGAAATACGAAAGTTCGGAAGTTTGAAAATTTGAAAGGTGTGAATATTCGAAAGTTCGAAACTTTGAAAGTTTGACAATTTTCAAGCTCTCAAATTCGAAGACCTAAGTTAACATTCCTCACAGGACTACTATTACAGCAAATAAAGATCGACGTCTTCATTGTTCCCGATTTCAGGTAGGTACGTATAAATACAATTCACTGTGATAATTTTACACCGTCTTATTACCTATTAAAGCTACTTGCTACCACAATCTATCCACCGGTCGATTCCAACTATTTCCACGTCCATATTTGTACACTTGACGCTTCTTTACAAATTTACACCGAACAATTCATTTCACTGTCCGAAACAACAGATCTATTCTCAGAATTTAATATCGAACCAGCATTTACTCCTACTCTCACGCAATGTTTTTATGATTTACTGCACTCTTCGTAACACGCATATGAAAATGCAAATTCAAGTGGAATAACAGGGGCAAGAAAGACTTACGAGTGCGCAGCATTAGATCGAACATAGTAATTTATTGATCTGCTGTAAAACCGTTGGTTGTCTTATCCTCGAAAGAAAATTTCAAATCAAAATTTTAAAAAATTCACAAACCAAAATTGTCTCTAAACGAAAAGAATATACGAAGAATGCTATCATATCGCAAAAATAGAAAATCAACAAAGAAATATCAATCGAAAAAATTCTGTTTCAAAATAAACTTATTTTAAAGTAAATTTTCTAAAATATTTCCCAAAATAAACTCACTCCAAATTAAATATCCCAAAATTAACTTATTCCAAAATAAATTTCTCAAAATTAACTTACTCCAAAATCAATTTCCCAGAATAAACTTATTCCAAAATAAATATATTTCAATTTTTGGATACAAAAAAATTATTAGTTCAATAATAGAAGGAATGTAAACACCAAAAATTCTAAATTTACAAATTAAGAAGAAAAAAAATTGATAAAAAATTCTGAAAGAATCCAGAAGATTTCGAAGAGAATTCTTCGAATTCTCTTTGAGCAAGTGTCCAGACGCGTGGGTGAATGAACGAAGGAAAGGATTTTGGCAATGACGGTCGACTGGGTGAAGAGAGAAGGGGGGAGGGAGAAAGAAACGCGTGTTTTGTGGGTCAGAGGATCGTCGACACAATGAATCACCGTGTCTTTCACCTTTTGTTCGCGCAATCGACGAATTCCTGGCCGACGTAAACGTAGGTCATGGTTCCCGTTCACAAGACTCGAGGAAGTTTGGACAGCCAATGTCACGGGCGTCCAAGAAAGAGTGGAATGTCGTGAAACGGTCGTTTCACACTTTCTCTTCATTTTTTATTATCTCGAACGAGTATCAGCTTCACTTTCTTTTTCTTTTTTTAACAATTATCGAGGGTGCTCTTGACAATCTTCTTGTACTTTTGAATATTATTAAATCTTTAATTGAAGATATAATTTAACTTGCTGCAGAGGCTTAAATGTAACAGAATAATATTTTCTCTCTTTTAATTTCAAACATTTATCAAATTATTTACCAATTAGAGGCTAAAATACAACAAAATAATATCTTCCTTTCTTTGATTTCAAATATTTACCAAATTAGTCTTCTTTTATATCCTTTTTAAAAGAATAATTGCCTATTATTGTAGATTATTCAGTGCTCTTCTTTTTCTTAATTCCTCAAATTAGTAAATTACTCTTTTTCATTTCTTTTTTAAGAATTATTAATTTTCTACTATTTGATTTTTTAATATATCTCAATTTTAACTTCCTCAAATTAGTAAATTACTCTTTTTCATTTCTTTTTTAAAGAATTATTAATTTTCTGCTATTTAACTTTTTAACACTCTTCATTTTTAACTTCGTTAAATTAGTAAATTAGTCTTTGTTATTCTTTTTCCTAAGAATTATTAGTTTTCCTTATTTCTTTTAAAGAATTACTAGTTTTACATTATTCGACATTTTGCACTGAAAAATATCACAGTACTTCAAGTGCTTCCTTTACTTTCAATCCTCCTCGAATTGCTAAATTAGAAAACAGTTAAAACCACCCTCTTCTCAAAAATTACAACTTGAACAGCAACTTCCGTAACAGATGTATCCCCGATATCGTCGAATTCTCGTAAGCCCCTTACTCCACAACAATATCGTAATCCCCCATGCTCGAGGCTAAAACCTGAACTTTACCATTTCAATCCGGATTTAACTCCACTTCGCTGTAAGCTGCCTGGACCAGATCAATTTCATTAAACATCGAAACATGACCAACACACGCTCATTTATTTTGCTCTTTGAAACCAGATCACTCCTACATACACATATACATACATTTATAAACGCCGAACCAAACATTCATCTATCCCATTACAAATCAATCGAAACGACAAAAAGAAGGTATTAAAAAAATAAAACTTCGATTTAAACAAACTTTCTCTATTCGTTCATGATTTCTTCTTTCGACCTCGATTTCAAATTGGAAAAAAAAAATACCAGAGAAATTCTGTCAATTTGCAATCATCGAGAGACCAGTTTCGTTGATTAATTAATTGTTATCGTTGCAACGATTTTGGGGATTATAGGAAATCACTCGTTCTGTGGTGCCCGGTTTGCTCCAATTCCTTCTTAAGTTTGCTTCTTTGATTTTATTTACAATTAGAGAATTACAAATTAACGAGAATTTAGAATTTCTATTCTTTGCTTGCATTATTTTAAAGCCTGAAATCGCTGAAAATTCAATAATGAATCTGAGACTAAAGCGAGACAAATTCAGCTTCTTTGATTTCATTTACAATTGCAGAAGTGACAAAGCGAAAATTATAATTCAAAGATTAATTCACAAACGAGCAATTAACGAGCATTTAGAATCATTTTAAAGCCTCAAGCCACTGAAATGTGAAAAGAGTTTGTCAAATTCCGCTAAATTAGTTAACGACAAAGGTAAAGGACAATAAAAATGACCACAGACTCGTGTATGAAATAATTTATTCACGTGTAAATTGACGAGAGAAAAAAGGAAAAATATCGAAGCGAATGCGAGTTAAGTTGGTTCCCGTTATTATGGCGGTTGTGGAACGAACTCGAAAGGCATTCAGAAAGTTTGATTACCCCCTCACCAGCCAAGTAGTCGTGAAGAAAACGCGGTTCCGCGAGAAATTCGTGATCGAACGGCGCGAAACGAAAATTATCCCGCCCCTTTGATCGTTCCTTTGCGGAAAGTCGAAAGGAAACTGCGGCTTCCAATCAGCGGGAAACGAACGAGGAAACTTCCTTTTCGCGGCCACGTTTCGATTCTCTTCGCTTTTCACGCCGAGCATCGATTCTATCCAAGAGTGTGATAATTCGCTCGAGTTCGGGAGGAAGGATGAATTCTCGAGAGAAATTGTTATTCCTTGGAATTTGACGAAATACGAGGGAGAAAATGATCCTCGGTACTGTTTATGAAATATATTAAAATACCACCTTTTTAGTATTTCCTCTGAGATGAAAATTCTAAGAAACTTTCATACTTCGTACAAGTTTTCAATTTTTTTTTTTTTATTACATTTTATTATGACAATTCTTTTCTAAAGAATTTCCTCTTCTAAGGATCAACGAGACCTTAGAACGTACCTTTTCACAATTTTCTGCAAGATAAAAACTTTAAGCAACTCTTGTAACCCTTTCAATTTTTCAAATTCAAACTTTTTAAACTTATCAACTTTCAAAATTTCAGTGTAACAAAATTTCCCCAATGAATCTCCTTTTTCTAAGGATCACGGATCCTCGATAAATACCATTTTACTCTAAAACAACTCTCATACCACTTTCACTACTCCATATTCAAACTTTTCAAAATTATCAATTTTCAAAATTATAGTCTAATAAAATTTCCTTGAAAAATCTCCCTTTCCAAGGATCAACGATCCTCAAAAAATACCCTTTCTTTCTAAAATTACTCTCACACTCCTCCACTTCTCCAAATTCAAACTTTTCAAAATTATCAATTTTCAAAATTATAGTCTAATAAAATTTCCTTGAAAAATCTCCCTTTCCAAGGATCAACGATCCTCAAAAAATACCCTTTCATTCTAAAATTACTCTCACACTCCTCCACTTCTCCAAATTCAAACTTTTCAAAATTATCAATTTTCAAAATTTCCTGGGAAAATCTCCCTTTCCAAGGATCAACGATCCTCAAAAAATTCCCTTTCATTCTAAAATTACTCTCACACTCCTCCACTTCTCCAAATTCAAACTTTTCAAAATTATCAATTTTCAAAATTTCCTGGGAAAATCTCCCTTTCCAAGGATCAACGATCCTCAAAAAATTCCCTTTCATTCTAAAATTACTTTCACACTCCTCCACTTCTCCAAATTCAAACTTTTCAAAATTATCAATTTTCAAAATTACAGTCTAACAAAATTTCCTCGAAAAATCTCCCTTTCCAAGTATCAACGATCCTCAAAAAATACCCTTTCATTCTAAAATTACTCTCACACTCCTCCACTTCTCCAAATTCAAACTTTTCAAAATTATCAATTTTCAAAATTACAGTCTAACAAAATTTCCTCGAAAAATCTCTTTTTCCAAAAATCAACA